AAACTCTCAATAAAATAGGCATAGAAGGGAAATTTCTCAACATAATAAAGAGCATCTAAGCAAAACCAACAGCCAACATCATTCTTAATTCAGAGAAGCTGAAAACACTCCCCTTGAGAACAGAAACAAGACAAGGATGCCCTGTACCACCACTCCTATATAACATTGTGCTGGAAGTCCTAGCTAGAGCAATAAGGCAAGAAAAAGAAAAAAAGAGCATCCAAATTGGTAATGAAGAAGTCAAAATGTCCTTGTTTGCAAATGATATGACACAATACATAGAAAACCCTAAAGACTCCATGAGAAAACTACTGCAACTAACAGAGTCAGCAGAGTAGCAGGATACAAGATAAACATACAAAAATCAGTTGAATTACTGTACACCAATAAAGAGAATGATCAGAAAAACAATACCATTTATAATAGCCCCTAAAAAAAATAAAATACTTAGGAATAAATCTAACCAGGAACGTAAAAGACCTATACAAAGAAACCTACAAAACACTGCTGCAAGAAACCCAAAGGGATCTACATAAATGGAAAAACATACCATGCTCATGAATAGGTGGACTCAACATTGTGAAAATGACAATTCTACCCAAAACAATTTACAAATACAATGCAATCCCGATCCAAATACCAACAACATTCTTCAAAGAATGGAAAAAGTAATCATTAACTTTACATGGAAACAGAAGATGCCCCAGATAAGTAAAGCACTATTGAAGAAGAATAAAGTAGGAGGACTCACACTACCTGACCTCAGAACCTACTATACAACTACGGGTAGTCAAAACAGCCTGGTACTGGTACAATGACAGACACATTGACCAACGGAACAGAATTGAGAACCCAGATGTAAATCCATCCACCTATGGTCACCTGATCTTCGACAAGGGCCCGAAGTCCATCAACTGGGGAACAGACAATCTTTTTAACAAATGGTGCTGGCAAAACTGGATGTCTATCTGCAAAAAAATGAAACAAGACCAATACCTCACACCATATACAAAAACTAATTCAAAATGGATCAAAGACCTAAATATAAAGCCAAAAGCTATGTTCATAGAAGAAAAAATAGCATCAATGCTTGAGGCCCTAATATGCAGCATTAACAGGATACAAAACATAACCAACAGCACACAAACTCCAGAAGATAAGCTAGATAACTGGGGTCTTTAAACATTAAACACTTATGCTCATCAAAAGACTTCACCAAAAGAGTAAAAAGAGAACCTACAGATTGGGAAAAAAAATTTGGAGATTACAAGTCAGACAAAGTTCTAATCTCTAAAATCTACTAGAAAATCCAACACCTCTATGACAAAAAGACAAATAACCCTATTAAAAAATGGGCACAGGAAATGAACAGACACATTACAGAAGAAGACATTCAAGCAGCCAACAGACACATGAGTAGATGTTCGCAATCACTAGCCATTAGAGAAATGCAAATTAAAATCACAATGAGATACCATCTCACCCCGGCATTACT